AGATTTTGATAGGTTGCGGAAGACAGGATTGAGATTCAGTGCTAAGTTGCTACATCATCTCGCATTGCATCTCGTGAAGGAGTCCAGAAATGTAGATTATCATGTAGATATGATAGACGAAAAACCACAAAAATCAATTGTCGATATGATAACTGCACGTTGGGTACAGGGGTTCATGAACCGATATCATATTGTCAGCAGAGCGCAAAATGGGAAATTTATGGTGTCAGCAGCGAAGCAGGCACAGATTAAGCGAGATGTTGCGTTCCACCTCGGAGTCGTTGCTAGGGATTTTCGCTCGGGTGCTATTGACGAGAACGATATCTGTAACGCAGATGAAACACACTTCCTTATCAACATCGATAACCATAGGACATTAGGGAGGTGTGACGACTCAGAGGTTAAATATTCTGATGTTTTCTCTGGCTCTGAGGGAATGACTATGATGGTAAGGATTTCAGGCGGTAGGGACGCAATTATTGAAGCTCCGTTTATGATTTTCCAAAACGCGAATAGAAGTTATCCTATACAACGGGTTCCTGACAATATCCTCGGGGTTTCGTACCGTTCTGGGCCTAAAGATTGGATGGATAGAACCGTCTTCACCCAGTACCTCTCCGAGAAAAAGGTCATCCGGCCTCTTCCTCATGGCCGCAAGCGTATTTTGTTTGTAGACAACTGCAGTGAACATGGAGCATCTACAAATTTAGCGGCGGCATTGAATTATATCAACACTGAAGTGCGATTTTTCCCACCCAATGCGACCGATTTGATCCAGCCAGCGGACTCATTTGTTATTCAAAAATTAAAGGATGCATGGAGGTCGCGTTGGGATAAGTACAAGATGGAGGTGATCATGAAGGACGGGTTTGCGCCGCGTTCAGGGAAAATTCCTAACCCAGGCAAATACTTTTATCTTCGTCTTGCTGCCGCTGCAGTTCGCGAGGTCAATGCTATGCGCGACAGAGACGGCATTCGTTTCGCACGAAAGGCGATGATACGGACTGGTCTTGCTTTAAATATCAATGGGCAGTGGGAGGAACGACAGCTTTTCCCGAAGCTGCAGGAGATTGTTAACAAATACCGAACACACTTTGAGGGAGCACCAGTTGTTGATGACCTATAAAGAGAATAACTGCCGACGAGGTATGTTGCTCGTGATTTGATTGGCCCATTCAGTAAACGAGGTAATAGTGTAGCCTGCACTATTGTAATACATTTAAATAATTAGTCTATGCTAATTGCGTTTGTCCTGCATATAGTGTCGTTGCACATATTAGCATAGGCTGCAGTAAAATCAGTGAGGGCCTGTTTTGACGTTGAACTTTGAATAGTATAGCCTAGACTATTTGCGATATTCGGGTGTAGCTAGGAACACCTAGCTAGACTTAACGTCTAGGAATTTCTACGATTCAATAAATGAGAGTACAGTACAGCCCGCCATCGTCCTCGCCATCTCCTGTCGTCGGGAAGCTCGCGCGCCCTTCCCGATCTAACCGCATCCGCGCGTCTTTCTTTCGAATAACAAGCAACCTGCCTCTGCCTCGCCGTCCGGCATCTTTGCTACACCCGCGCATCGCTGAATGGCATCGCTAAAAGGCATGTGCCTTTGTAGTAGTACCAAGGGTACTGTATATATATTTTATTTGAAATAAATGAGTTGCGCACGGGACAAAGAACGACCGGCGACTATGATACTGTATATCGAGCACCTTGATCTCAAGGTAGGAAGGTTACAGTTTCTGGTCTCAAGACCAGAAACTGTACCCTTCCTACCGTACATTGCTGCGCACCCTTTGCCCTCTAATCTCCCTGACCAAAACTGATCAGGCCCTTCCCTCCACCCATTCCCACAAGCAATCCTCCCTCTCCTTCCCCTTGAAGAAACGCCCGCAATGCCTGATTTGCACCTTGTCCGCCTTCATCGGCACGCAATCAACGTCCTTGCACTGAAACAGTTCATTAAACACCGCCTGATCCTGCAAATAAGTATCCCTCCACGCCAGCGCCCACTTCTGCACCAGCCCAATCCAGTCGCCCCCCTTCGCAATCACAAACCAGCACGTCCTCAACAAATCCCGCCCGCGCTGCGTTTTGCTTGAAATCAAAAACCTCGGCTTCTTCTCCGCTGCCTCCAGCATGTGCATCTCCGAGTACACCAAGTCCGCGTCTACGTACATCACCGTGTCGTACGCCATAAACCGCTCGCTCCTGCTTGCGAGCAGCGCCACGCGACACCAGTGCGGCCGCACCGTCTCCCCGCTCGGCATGCTCACAGTCCGCACGTAGAAGTGCGCCCGATCGCAGACGACGTTGGAGCGCTTGTTCACGGCCAGGCCCACGTGCACCAGTTCGTAGTTTGGCTCGGAGCACGAGAAAATCAGGCAGGAGGCATTCCGGTGCAGGTAGTAGGGGGGCTGCTCGTCGATGGCGTCGAGGCCGCGTTCGGTAGGTTTGTAGGTCCGAGCGGCGATGGGCTGGGGGGTTGAGCTGGCACGCGAGAAGAGAACGGAAACATGCGAAGAGGGGACGACCAGCCACTCCGAGAACACAAGGCAGAAGATTACGGTGAGCGTGACGGCGGAGAAGATGAGGGTGCGCCTTGGAGGCGAGTAGCGGGACGCCGGGGAGCAGGGACTCCATGGCAGAGACTTAAACATATTTGGCTGGAGGGAATGGGATGTGCAGGTGTGTGTGGCAGTTGGGACCAAAGGCTACTTGTTGAAAATGGTGAAGTAGGCCTTCAGTTTGCTGCTCTGCTCACTTTAAGCGGGATATCCCTTCTTTCGTACAGGCTCAGTAGGGGATACACGTTGCCTCATGAGTAATTAAGAACGCTCTTTTACGGAACTGTCTCTACTGTGTATCTGATCTGTACTGTGCATTCACCCCTTCGAGAATTATGCAAGCAAAGCATCGGCCCTTCCTCATCACAGCCGTCATTGGTCCTAGGCGAGCGTGTGTCCTTTCGGACTGTTCTGGAATGTACAGTACCCAAGGATAGCACTTGAACAAGTTGGGTGTCGACCTTAAAGGGCAGATGGCAGAGGCATGTGGATTCCTACCGATGTCGTGTACTAAATTATAGTGTACAATGGACTGTACACTGCATGTGTAGGATGCGTACCCTACCACTATCTAGATCTGTAGGGCCCGAAGGGAGAAGCTAAATGTACTACGGTAGACACTTCACATGTTGTCCAGCTGGCAGGTAATTGACCTTTGGTGATGTATATTATATTTTTTTCATGATCCACATGCAATTTTTGCATTCTGTTTGTCGATCATGGAATCTGTGATGCAAGATCGATACCTCTGTTTACTGATGCCTAATGCCTGTCTACCTTATAAAGGGAGGCTCTACCCACCGATGGGTAGCTAGGGATCCGTAGGCCGGCGGCGAGGGAGATGAGCTGATCATGCTGTCATGCGTGTGCTCCGTGTGCACGAATGGCTCTCATGACAGAATCTAAGGGCGTTTACATGCATCGTGTCAAGCTGGTTTTCGGGGAAATTTCATCATTAGGTCGTCAAGTAAACATATATCATTCCTTCGTTGGGTAATTCTGTAAGATAGAATCTCCGCTGCTCCGACTTTTACGCACATTGCAGCATTTGGTGCAGCCTTAAAAGATTGAGCTGTAGAAATGGATTGAATTCTAGAGGTGGGGAAGAGGTAGCTAAAAAGAGCTGAAATTTCGCTCTAGTTTGGTGACATGGATGGTACATGAACTGTGTATTGCGCTCTTATCAAGGTTAAGGGTTGCCAAAGTACCATGCAGCTCGTAGCGTTGTCCCATGCGATAAACCGTTTCATACAGTACCAAGGGTAACGGTACCTTCAGGAGGTACCCTTTGAAGGGCAGCTGTTCACAGCTATGCTCACATGAGCGAGAACCCTTGGGTACTGTAGTCGTTGTAGCTGTAATGCACATCTTGGCGTTTGACATTCAGCTTTACAGTAAATCTCAAAACATTTCAGTACACAGGGCAAATAAAGTGCCAATAAGTTAATTTTTCTGCACAAGAAGCAGCAGTTGCAACTGCTGCTTGCACGGAAGATTGTACTTGTGGAAGAGACGGTCAAGCGCAGGCAGAACCGGGATTCGGGCAAGTGGGGTCATCGGGAGCTGGACAGCAGAATGGAGGTTTCGAAAAAGAACAAGTCGGGAGGGAATCGCAAGGCAAGCCACAGCGCGGGAATGCGAATCACGAAGCAAGTAAAGAGGGCAATTGATGTCGTGGAGCGATTGGAGCGAGATGGCGAGGAGCGTGAGTTGTGTTTGCAGATTCTGGGAGAATTGTTCGAGAAGGAACAGTTTCCCAAAACGATGGAAAAGCTCTACGAGACGCTGACTGAAGCGCAGTGGAAGAAATGGAAAGAGACCCCACGAGGTGAAGGTGTGCGAAAGATTCATTCTCAGATACGCCCTTTCGAATGACGTGAATTGGCTTTGGGGTGTATGGCGCCAAAAGTGGAAGTAGGGTAAGGGTGCGGGTGGGTGCGGGTAGGTACGGGCGCGAAGGGTTCAATTGCATGATAACGTAGACGGATGAGTTCATGGGAATGGATCAAAAGTAAAAAGTGAAACCCCAAACGGATCCCCGAGGTACCAGCATGGCAGGGACTGGATCAGTGTGAACGATACGTGTACTACTGGACACGAGACATCATTTTCACGTGCCACAATGCGACGTAAATCAGGGCCGCACAGCTACGCGGTAGTAGACACTTGTACATTGCGCGGCCTGCATGTATGGCGCATTAGAGCCTACGTAAATGCTGCGGTCATCCTACGGTCCTACTACAGGGGGGGGTCACCATATAGTGCCTACTTTAGTAGTGCTTCTCTCTATATAGTGCTATACACGTCACGTCTTCTCATAACATATCCCCGTGTCCACGTGTAATATGTATGAATTAATTTCCGTACAACGGGGCAACTGCGGTAGGGTTGCTTCCCCAGTCTTCTCTTCTTTTCTTTCCGCTCACCACTCTCTCAAGTGATCTTCTCCTCCCCATCCCACAAACACTTCTCCCTCTCCTTCCCCTCGAACCGGTGCCCGCAGTGCTTGAGCGTGACCTTCGATGTCTCAACCCTCACGCAATCGACGTCCTTGCATCGAAACAGCTTGTTAAACACCGCCTGATCCTGCAGATACGTATCCCGCCACGCCAGCGCCCACTTCTCCACCAGCGCCTCGATCCAGTCGCCCCACTGCGCGATCACGAACCAGCACGTCCTAATCACATCGTGCCCGCGCTCTATCTTGTACGAAATCAGAAACCGCGGCTTCTTCTTCGCCTCCTCCAGCATCTCCTTTTCCGAGTACACCACGTCCACGTCCACGTACATCACCGTCTCGTATGCCGTAAACGTCTCACGCCGACTGTACAGCAGCGCCACGCGGCACCAGTGCGGTGCCACAGTCTCTCCGCTCGGCAACCTCACTGTGCGTACGTAGAAGTGCGCCCGATCGCAGACGACGTTGGACCGCTTGTTCACTTGCAGGCTCACGTCGGAGAGGCCATAGCCCGATGGAGAGCAAGAGAAGATGAGGCAGGAGGCATTTCGGCGCACGTAGTATGGAGGCTTCTCGTCGATGGCGTCGAGGCCGCGTTTGGTAGGTTTAGTAGTAGGCCCGGAGGCGTTCGGAGGCTTCTCGTCGATGGCGTCGACGTCGCGTTTGGTAGGGTTAGTGGTAGGTACGGGGGCGTTCGGAGGCTTCTCGTCGATGGCGTCGACGCGGCGTTTAGTAGGTTTAGTGGTAGGCCCGGAGGCGTTCGGAGGCTTCTCGTCGATGGCGTCGACGCCGCGTTTGGTAGGGTTAGTGGTAGGTACGGGGGCGTTCGGAGGCTTCTCGTCGATGGCGTCGACGCGGCGTTTAGTAGGTTTAGTGGTAGGCCCGGAGGCGTTCGGAGGCTTCTCGTCGATGGCGTCGACGCCGCGTTTGGTAGGGTTAGTGGGCCCAGAGGCGTATGGAGGCTTCTCGTCGATGGCGTCGACGCCGCGTTTAGTAGGTTTAGTGGTAGGCCCGGAGGCGTTCGGAGGCTTCTCGTCGATGGCGTCGACGCCGCGTTTGGTAGGGTTATTGGTAGGCCCGGAGGCGCCGAAAGACTTGCCGGTGGGGTCCCTTCGCGCGGAGATGGCGGAAAGACGGTGAGAGGGTAGTTCCAGCCACCCCAGGAGCATGACGGCGAGGAGGAGCATAAGCGTGACTGCGAGGATGGTTTGGATGCGCTTGGGAAGCAGGCGGGTGGGCGTCGCGCGACACGGACTCAATGACCGGGTTTCAAACATGTTGCTTGCGCAGCGGATGGGATGGGATGCGGCAGAGCACGTGCGCGTCGGAGTTGGGAGCGGGGACGCTGAGGGATGTGGCGTTTTACAAAGGAGGCCGCCCGGGTTTCTTTTGTGCGCCCCTTTCCACCCGGACTGTGGAAAGGGGCGGTCGTCATAGATTAGGGATTGACGGGGAATTATTGGGATGACGGTAAGTCCTTCTTCCTGTCTCTTAGAGCCTCCCCAACGCGGCAGTTCGTGATGAACGCGTACGCTCGCTACTGGCCAGTGGTCTCTATGGAATTTTGTTATGACAAGGCATTCTATCCACCTTGATTCTATTCGCGTTTATCCAAGACACCTTGTTGTCCCGTGCCGCTTCTTTACACTTCGTTTATTTTATCTAACTTTCAGGGGGAGCCGATGCTATATACAGTATTCCCCCGTTGTCCGCATAGCACTCGGTCAGCTGAACCGGTATGCAGACAACGGGTTTATGCTGACAGCGAAGGAATCTTTACTGTTTTCTGAAATGGTCTAATATCGTTGACTGGCGCAACGCAGCTTGCTTTTCAAATCGTAAGTCCTTTTGGCACTCCCTTAATCGTTTCTGTAGGCTTTTGTCCATTCTTCCCAGTCGTTCCAATACAGATCCTGCCACTGCCAAACCCTTTAACTCCTCTTCAATACTGTAAGACTCATCATCGGCATCACTTCCTTGTGCCTCTTCTTCAATACACTCCATGCCTGCGATAAAACTCTCCCTGATTTTCAACAGTCAGTGTCTACGCCACATCGTCCTCCCCCATCGGTTTTAGTAGACTCTCTAATGCAATCATTTTATACCTTACACCATGCTCATTTAAGTCCCTCACCGTTTGATACACCTCTTCCAGTCGAGCCCGTTCTGTAGTATCTTCCATGTCCTCCCTTTCTACCCTGAAACAAATATCAAAACGTTTCTCAATGCAGTTTTCTGGAAGGGAATTCCACTCTTCTATCACTCAACGTATGGCTGTAAGGATGTCCATATTGTAAATTGACTTTTTCCCAGCATCAATGTTGTCAAAAACACGGCACAACAAACGCCGTCGGAACTTCATTTTAACTGCAGCAATTATTCCCGCGTCTAGAGGCTGAATTCGACTTGTAGCGTTCGGAGGGAGAAAGTAAACATCTACATTTGCAGATCCGGCAGAGAGTCCTCTGTTCCGTGTGCAAAACAGTTATCTGAAAATAGAAGTATCTTCCGCCCGGCCGTGCGACCACCTTAGCGATCCAGCCGCCCCAGCCAGCCAAAAAATAACACTTCTGTCATCCACGCCTTCTTGTTGCCGTGGTAATCGAAACCAAGTTCATGGCCGTACTTTCCTAAAAAAAGGACGAAGACGCAGCGCGTTTCTAATTATCATAAGTGGAAATCGCTCCGTTCCGTCCGCGTTACAGCATGCCAGAAACGATATTCTGGTCTTGTCTTTTTTGAAACCAGCGGCAGGATTCCGCGACAAAGACCACCCCGGCGGTTGACGATAGAAAAGACCAAACTCGTCAGCGTTCCCGACATTTTGGACCGTACTCAGCCACCTTTGCCACAATTGATGGTATTGCGGCAGTGATCGCAAACTCATCTGCACTCAACGCCTCCCCATGCACAAGTCGAAATTTGATGTTGTTTCGCTTCTCTAAGCCATCCATTCGAGAACTTCAAGGAAAGCTGTTGATCGATTGGCAGGTGTTTGTTGGCTTCGCGTTGCAGTATCTCTGCTTGATGTCGCAAAATTATGCGATTAATTTGAATACCACTGGCAGACTTTTCACACAGCCAGTGGCACAGCGCGCTTTCAAGACGAGAGGCATCTGGAACGCGACGATGTTTTAACGATGAACGCACACCGAGGGGAATGGCAGAATATGTCGACTTTGTCGAGAGAATCCGAGAAATTGTGGCTTGGTTTGGGGCTTTGTCAAGCGTAAGGCTCTCTTCTGCCCAATCTGCGAGTTCCTTCTGAGTCATGGGCTCTTTTCGTTCGCATCGACGCTGGTGCTCATAAATAATGAGCTGTTGTTGGTGCACGGTAAGTGCGTGGCACATTTTGGGTGTCAGAGGGGAATGGCACGAGGATAGTGTTGGAACGATGCTGGAAAGGAGGCATAGAGAGGATTGGCGATCAATATCGTGGATATCAGATGTGAAACTGTTGGCTAACCGACTTCAGACTTGGCATTTCACATCTCAAGAATGTTATATATGCGGGGGAAATGTATCCAAAATATATCTGAAAATCATGCTGCCGCTGGGATTGTGTATGAATGTATGCAGTATGCAGTACATTGGCCATTCCAGGTACATGGCGCCCCTTTTTCATGATAAATGACATTTGTATGAAACTTTCGAGGATATGTGGACAGGGGGGTCTGCATAAAGCGGGGGAACACTGTACTGTTGTAGAATCCGTGCTTTTCATACTAACAGAATACGTATGTTAGTACAATACTGAGCTTACGCAAACCGGATTCTACAGAATTCTGCAAACAATTCTGCAAAAAACATTACACTGAAATTGCATATACAGAATTGTGCAATCATGCCATGACAAAAAATGCGGAATTGTGAGATTTTAGTGTAGAGGATTTCTGCATGGTCGTGAAAAATGATAGGGACAGGTGTCGTGAAATTGGCGGCAGTTCGCGATAATGCATGAATGATAGAAGGTTACTCACTCGTGTTGTCGCTACAAGCGTATACGCCATATCACACAATGATGTCTGAAGTAGTTGGTTCGGAAACACAAGATCCAGCCCCCACCAAAAGTGGTAGGCAATCACGGTTCACACCGCAACAAGACCTCGCCATTGTCCGTGAGGTAGCCGGTGTTCGAGCTCATTTGGCGAGTTCGGTGAAACGAAGAAGAGATTTGCTACTGCGGCGGAAAGATTGCGTGAGAACGTACACTTTCGGGACAAAAAACGTCGGTTGGAAGACAATTCAAGACCGATACAAAAGACTGCAGGACCAATATGACAAAAACCACTCCGATAATCAAAGGTTGTCTGGAGTCGGTGGTGGGGAGATGGGAGAGTTGGCTGACCTTTTGATGACATTGAGGGAGTCCAGAGATGATTGGGAAGCACAAAAGAAAACTGCGAAATTAGCAGAGAAAAGAAAAGAAGAAGACAAGGAACGCATGGGTCGCATATTGATGGTTGCAGCGCAAAAGTGCAAGTCGTCGAAGGATTCGGAAACAGAAGATGGTAGCTGCGGAAATGAGAATGGGGCTGTGATACTAGACGAGGTAGAAAGCGAAGCGCATATTCGTAGCACAAACGGCACCGCGAGAAAGAAGAAGAAAACGAAAATGGCATATGGTGCTGATGATAGCCTTGATGCTTTCAGAGAGCATATGGAAGACGCTGACCTCGCCCGAATCTCGCTTCAGCGAGAGCGTCTTCAATTTGAGCGTGACATGGCTGAGAGCAGTAGAGAAGAACGCTTGCAGGAGCGCCTTGAGCTTCAGAAGGAAAGAGAAGAAGAACGGCGAGAGCGTCGGAAGGAACGCGTAGAACAGCAAAAGCTCGAAGTGGAGAAGTTCAAGGCACTCATAGAGGCCTTCGCGAGAAAAAAAATATATCTGACCATGTCGTACATATAGAGTAGGTCGCCTTCTATTCAGTACCAGTAGTACCCTTGGTACTGTGTACCAGGCTCGTAAACAGTACCAAGGGTACTGTACCCTGGTACTACCAGGGACCCGTTAGGGTTAACACAACAAACGTCCCCCCTGGGGTGGTCAATGGGAGCGGTGCCACCTAGGAGGGGGAAAGGGGAGGGGAAAGGGGAGGGGAAAGGGGAGGGGGAACGGGAGGGGGAAAGGAGTGGGCGAGAACGGGGCGACATGTCGCGCTGTCTATGGAACATTGACACATATGCGACGGGATGCCGGGCAAATGGAAACCCAATCGCATCCGACTGAATTACTCTACTCCTCTCTGTTTCCGCTTCACTACACATGCCACTGCCGCTGCGTTTTAGCAGTGCCCTGCTGAGATATTTACTTACCAACTCTCCTCACTCGTCACATCTCCCCCATCCGTTTCACCCCTACTCGTTACAATCTATTCCCCGCGCACTTTAGCGGACTCAACTTTATCTGCACACCCCATTCCTGTCACCCCACGCATCAACTTTTGGAACCCTCGCTTCTCGCGCGTTCGTCACCTCGAATCGGCCGTCCGCCAAAAAACTGCAATACCCTCCCATCCACTTTCTCTGTCCACATTACGCTCTATTCCGATCACACGACTTCCCCGTTACCGGCCTACGCTCCCGACGGATGTCAAGCCCCTCCGGTTAGCTCTTCACGCCCCGAGCGGCTCATGACCCGCCTTTTCGGCATCCGGGCCGTATGCGACGGCTGTCTATCCGCCGCCGCCAATGTCTTTTGCGTCAACCACGGTACCGTCGTATGTTTCTCCTGCGACGATAAACAACATGCCTCCCCGCACACGGCCTCTCACCAGCGCGTCGATCTCTCCTCTGCCGTCACAGCCCTTCCCTTTTGCGAGCGCTGTGACGATGCTCCGGCAACACTCTACTGCGAGTCCGAGGGGACCACCTTTTGTGATAAATGTGACTGCGTCTCTCATGCCTCGCACACCTCGCCTCCGCACTGCCGAACTCCTATTTCGAGCACTCTTCGCCATCGACAGGTTGAGTGTCGTGGACTTCTCGACAACCGCGCCTCATCTGTCTACCAAGTCTCCTCCTCTCCATCTTTCCCTGCTTCCACACCCACCAAAACTATCTCACCTGGATTCTGCCAAGAACGGAAACGATTGCCAGACGCGGCGGAGGGCGCTCATGTGCGCTCATGTGCGGCGCTCGTCCGCGACGGCGCGGGCGCGCTCCCAAACGGCCAGGGCTGACGCGTGCGCGTGCACGTCGGACTCGTACGCGGGTAGGTGGCGGATGAGGGCGTCCAGCGGCGGCAGGGCGCCGCGCTGCACGTCGTCCGCCAGCAGATGCACCTTGCTCACCGACGCGCCGTATAAGGTCGACGGCAGCCGCCCCAGCTTCGTGACGCGGGTGCACATGGCGCCGTGCCGCACGACCGCCGCACTCATCACGGGCGCACAGACGGCGCGTTGGCGAGGCTGCGGGGACTGGGCCGCTACCGGGGGAGGGTTCGGCGGGGGCCGGCGGGGTGAAGTGCGTGCAGAGGAGAGAGAGAGAGGGGATGCGGGTGGGGGAGAGAAGGATGGGATGCGGGTGGGGGATGAGCGGAGAAAGAGACGCTTCGCGACGCACCGCGCAGCAGCGCCCCACCGGCAATCGCCGCCGCCCCCGCCGCGCGGCCGCCAGCGCGACGCCCGTCAACGCGGCACCGCGGATGATGTGCACAGCGGGCTCGGATGTTATGCGCTCGCGCCCGTGATCGCCGAAAACGGCGAGGAGTGCCGGGCGGGAGACGAGCGCGGAGGGCGGCAGGTGGCGCAGGTTGTGGGACAGCGTTATCACCAGCAAATGCAGCGAGGTGGGCGTTAGGGACGCTCACTCTGCGCGGCCGTGCGGGCAGGAGCGCGACGCAGATGGATTGTAGAGTGTAGAGGAGGGCGGAGGTTGTGTGGTAGTTCGGGAGAGGGGAGCAGAGCGCTTTTGGGTGGAGGAGGAGGAGGAGGAGGTGTATGTGCGCGTGGCGGAGGGCGGTGTACATGGCGGCATTGCGGATGAGGAGTCGGCGGAGGATGAGCGGAGTTCGGCAATGAGCGCGGGGACGAGGACGGTGTCGGGTGGGGAGAGACGCTGCAGGGATGGAGAGGGACGACTTGTAATTTAAAGAAAACCCACCTCGACCGGAACACATCCCTCTCGCTTCCCCCTCCTCTTCGTCTTCTTCGTCTTCGCCTCCTCCCTCGCTTCCTACCTCCCTCTTCGCCTTCTCCCTCCCTCTTCGCCTCCTCCCTCGCCTCCTCCCTCCCTCTGCCCCTTCAACCACGCCGGCCATGACGGACGCCGTCCCGCCCAAGCCGCGCAAGCCGCGCAACACGCGTCTCACAGGCTACTACGGCCTCTCAACGCCCGCCGCCACCCCGTCCTCCCCGCACATACATCGCGGCGAAGCGGTAGTACGAACGTTCTGCGTGGAAGCACGCTTCCACTCTCGAACATTAGATAACTAAATTGGCAGCTTCGCTCTCCACCAACCTCCGTCACATCAGCCTCGTGGCAACAACTTTCCGTCCTTGCATCACAAACAATTAACTGACCAACTCCGTTCGGTACTAATCTATGTTAAACTAGTCTCCTGGCACCACTTTCCATCATTGAGCACAAAAAATAAATGAACAACTCTCCGCTCGCTGTCAGTTTCTCTCTGACAAGACTAAAGCGTTATAAAAGCACAAGTTTCTATGATTCACATATGTCGTAAGATCGGGAGGCGGGCAATCAAAGTACCTCGAGATTTGGTTGGGGTAGAGCCAGTTTCGGAAGTTAGATAACAGAATGGACGCCAGGTATATCATGCCCACGGGGTGTTCGCGAACCTTCATTTTCCATTTGAAATCGTTTGCGGAAAATTGTAGCTTCACTTCTTTAAAAATCCATTCCATACTAATCCGCACTGACGACATTGCCTTGTTAAATGCAGACTGGGCAGGAGAGATGTTGGAGCCCTTAAAAGGTACATCGATAAACCACCGCTGGTTGTAGCCACAGTCGCCATATATACAGTACTGCTTTCCTTCCGCCAATAACACTACAGGAAGAATATCGTCCATTTTGCTGCGTACATATAAAGTCCAGTCATGTCTTCTACCTTCTAACGGACCATACAAGCGCTGTATGAGACCATCCGGTGTGTTCACAGCTTGATATTTGATAGCGTGCTTGCGCTTATGTCCATTATAAGCGACACGGTGAGCCAGACTTCCGCGCGGACGGGCGAGCCCTAAAACGGTGCCATCTATAAATCCGACGCAATTAGGAAGGGCTTTTCCCTTGTCGTGAATACGCTGTGCATAAAGCTCTGCTCTTTTGGCAATGAAAAGCTCACTAATTTCCTCCCTCACGAGGTGTTTTCGAGTGTTTAAAAGGTGCTCTATTGCTTCCCAAAAAATTTCGGAAAGCTGTAGCGCATGCTTTCCAAAGAGTTCTTCAAGGTCTCCCCACCTGGATGGAGCAGCGAGACGCCGCAGAACGATACAAGTCGCAAGAATGGGAGAGGCACGATATCTATTTCTGGACGTTCTCGTTTGCGTTTCAGGCCAACTCATCACAGAGACAAGCTGTGATATTTGCCGTTTTTGAAACCGGAAATTCTGCAAGTACTCCCGGTCCGAAAGACAATTGAAGTCAAATGAGAATTCTTTGTGCGAAATGCGTCTAACACGCAATAAATGGCAGTGATAGTCCTTGGTGGCGCTCGAGAACTTTGCAGCCAGAGTAAGAATTGATTTTGTGTCAGAAAGCGCGGAGCCAGGAATCATCTGACGTCGGCTGGAGACAGTTCTCAAGGCCACTTGAAAATGGAGTTGTCGACGTCTGACCAAGGACGTGCAATGGTCCTTTTGTCTGCCACGCCCCATCGCGAATGGTGAGGGTTACTGAGCCCGCCGCCGTCGCCATCCTGGCACTACTGTACGGTATGTACTAGTACTGCATGACCTTCCCGTCTATTACTCCTGCGGGCGGAAGTTTTCTATTTGCGTAAACGTTTTCGGATATTGTATAATCACTTTTCAGAAATAGAATTCAGCAATTGGTATTGCAGAATTTCTGCATTTGTATTCCTGAATTCTCGTTTGCGTAAGCTCTGTTGTGAATCCTCGCTACAGTAACTGCATATGAAAAGTGGAGGGTTTTCGTATGTGTAGTACACTTCCGTACCACAACCCCCCGGCGAGATGATAACTGTAGCACAACGGTGCGAAGGCAATGGCACCACCGCTGCCGCCCCGGGATACAGTACGATGGGCTGTAAGCGCGAGAAGAACTGTAAGGAGTTATATTTACAGCACACGGCCGGTGCAGAGTACAGTGGTACCCAGCTGGTTACACGTGTAGGATCCGAACGGTAAGTAATTAGTAATTAGTAGTTAATTGCACAAATTAACCAATTTAGCACAGTAGCTGGTATACAGTAAGTAACAGCTACTGTAGTGGGACAGGTGTCCTGGCGTCCCACTTAGGGGTTAAGACCGGGGGCACCTGCCCTGTTCCAGTAAACGGGAGGCAGACTCGCCTCCCTTCCCTTTACGGCTAATTGCTATCCTGTTCCGGTTTCCCTTTTAGTCTCAGGCTTCTAACCCGTGACTGGCCGTCCGGATCTAACACCACCAACCGCCTGCGCGTCACCGGCCACGCGAGCCTTCCCTCTTTTCGAGTACATCCGTACGGTCTGCGTTCGCGCGTGGGTTACCCAGCGACGCGCGCTCCCTTACCTCTAACCCCCCTCGTTTCCGAGTGGTCGGGACGAAGGTAGTTATACCACAATAACCGCGCGGGAGGGCGGGTGCTACTCTAGCGAGCAGGCGTACACGCGCCAGCCGCCGTGTACAGTAGTACCCCAAGGGTCCGACGTGGGGACAGCCGGTAACAGCGGGCGCGGCCACGGGTAACACGGAACAGGCCAGGTAACCATAAGCTCGAGATATAAACCACCATCAAGGACGCGCACTGCAAATCTAGTATTGGTTACACCTGAGGGAAGATTTATACACACAGTGACCATTTTTGTCATTGTTTTAGGCTCCAGCCACTCCGAAATGAGTGTTAGAGACATAAAGCTCATTGAGCCACGTGGCATAATTTCATCACCGTCCTCCGAACCTTCGTCGCCGTTGTCTGTTTCTTCTTCCTCTTCTACTGTACGAGGACGCTTCCCGGCTGGGCCAGCAGCAAACGAGGATAATGTACATTTTCGGTTTAAATCGGCATCTCCAGTGGTTCGCGGTATCAGAAAAAATTGCAAGAAGTTAGGGTAGAAATGGGATGCAGTCAAAGCTTCCAAAAACAAAAATTTAAAAAATGGTACTGTACCTGTGGTAGAAATTTTTTTCATGCGATTGTAAAATGCACGAAAATGTGTCAGGGAAAATTTTTGAAAATCGGTGTCAGAAAAATGCACCGCCTTTGGATTTCCAGTTCCATTGATTTCGCCACTGCGAAATTTTGGGAGCAGCAGCATACTAGCTTTTGAGCCGCAAGTCAACTGCATGTTTGCGATCCGTTTCTGAAGTTGCTCGGGAATATGGAATATGGAAACCAGCGTGTGTTCCACCATAACAATGTCCTCGACGGCCTATAAAATGAGCAAACCAGGTCCGATTTTATCGCAAATTCCAATGACACCGTTCTCATTACACCCCCACCCCGTAAATTGTATTAAGAATAATGTATTTGGGGTCAGCGACACTTTGCCAAAAATGTATTGGCGCGTTTGCGTGTGCCCGCCTAAACATAAGTCAGAATGACAACCTTCTACGTGGATGTTTTACATTTCATTGTCACAAAAATAATATCTTTGACAGTTCCTCTATTGTGAGCCATACTCTGCGATACGAGCAGCCAAAGTTCGGTGACAACAATGTTTAACAAAATGGAAACATATGCGATTGTGAAACGCTGATACACTCTATTCATGTCGAAACCTGAATGCAAAACATGTTAAGTGCGTTGAGTCTCAGTCGCGCACAGGTGCAGGGATATTCGGCTGTAGTCGAAGCGAACCAGATTTATAAAAACATAGCTTAATTGCATTGTAAAAAAGATCAAAATGAGGGCCACAAATTTGGCCTCCGTTCGCATTTTAATTTTCGAACTTTGCCCAAAAAAGAGAATATTCGCTTGTTTTAAAGATGCCACAAATCTTTATTTTTTAAAAACATTTCTCAAACTAGGCGAACCAGAATTCACTAGAGACGGA